CTGAGCTAGGTTAAGAGGAGAGAGAAATCCTTACGTATGTTTTGTGTTTTTGAGTGTGGACATGATTCAATTCGATAAAATTTTCATTGGAAGAAAAATTGAACCGAACTAGTTACTAATAATAATTATGCACAAGAGATGCAATGGTTCGTGTGTAGTAGCGAAATCAAACTGGACAAATACTCGATTCAGACTAATCTTTTTTTTTTTTTTAATCTTCATAAATTATAAAAAATTAATTGAGAGATTTTACAAAAAATTAGAATCAAATTAAAATTTGATTTTGCAGATAGAACAATAATTGGATCACATTCGTCTAATTTCTATTTCTGAGACTCAAAACCAGTTAAATTTGAATCAAATAAACACTACGCCAAAAATGAGCTTTTGCAGCAGTCAAAAAACGCTGCAAAAGACCTTTTGTAGCTTTTTTCCAAGTGTTGCAAATGTCGGTGTTGCCGTAGAGGGAAGACTTTTTGCAGCATTTTTTCAACGTTGCGGTAGACCTCTTTTGCAGCGTTTTTTAAACGTTACGGCAGACCCTTTTGCAGCGTTTTTTCAACGTTGCAGTAGACCCTTTTGCAACGTTTTTTCAACGTTGCGGTAGACCTCTTTTGCAGCGTTTTTTCAACGTTGCCGTAGACCTCTTTTGCAACGTTTTTTAAAAGTTGCGGTAGACCCTTTTGCAGCGTTTTTTAAACGTTGCGGTAAATCTCTTTTGCAGCGTTTTTTCAACGTTGCCGTAGACCTCTTTTGCAGCGTTTTTTAAACGTTACGGTAGACCCTTTTGCAGCGTTTTTTCAACGTTGCGGTAGACCTCTTTTGCAATGTTTTTTAAACGTTGTGGTAGAATTTTTTTTTTAAAAACAGTTATGGTAATTGAGTAATTGACCCACAAAATTAAAAATAACACTTTGTGAACACATTTTGGAATTTTATAAAAATTGATAATTTCATTATAAATTTTTGAATCAATACAAAATTCGAATGTGATACAACACAACCTATCTAAAAAGGAGTAAGATAAACAATACAATTGTTTCATCCATCATTCCACTAACTAGATTGCTAGAAGAAGTAGAGACATAAATATCATCCCCAAATGTGTGTTCTACAAATTCTTCCGTGCTACTCTTCAAGCAAAGGCTTCAGACATAAAATATCATCCCCAAAAGCTTCTTCACTTGGCTCATGATGGTGCCCAACTTTGGACCTTGGATCATTAATGATTCTACTTCAACCTTACAAAAAAAGAAAATTTAATTAGATTCATGAGTAACTTAAGCATTAAATTTGACAAAGTAAATTTCACAGAATTTGCAAAAATTGCTGCATCAAACTTACAATTTATGAACTTAGCAAATAGGAGAATAGCGCAAGAACTCTAACAATAAGCTAATTTTATCACTCACTAAAATGAAAATAACCATGCGTGCAATGTACCATCTGATGACATAAGGCACTCTCAGATGAAATGCAGAAGTGATAATAAGCAATGTAGCCGCATTTTCGCGTGAAATGCCTCATACCATAATTTACAAGGCAAAGAAATTCCCTAGGACATTATGGTAAGGGCCCCAGATGATCCACATAAAAAGCACAGATTTGTGAAAATTATTTTTTTGCAAATGGCAGATAGAATCAGTTATATCATAAAAGACCATGACATATCAAAATATCTCACAAGATCAATGTCAGCTTACTTGTAAATGTTTCTGGTACGGTCTACATCTTGGGCATCCAGTTCTTCGTACAAAACATAATTAATCCTAAGCATACAAGTTCAACCAGTCAAAAAAAAATTAAACTAAAAAAAAATGGTGTTCTTACATTTACCAATTCCTCTGCTCGCCCCTTGGGGATATGATCCAAGGCATGTTTATATATACACCTTGCCTTCTCTGTTTCCTTACATTTCTCCTCAAACTTTGCGAAAGCCACAAATAAATCCTCTGCCTCTTCGTCGTCCCCTGACTTTTCCACTACAAGCTCATAACAACCCCTTGCACGTGGTATTTCTCCATTTTTCATCTCAAATTTTGCATACCTAATCCAAGCGCCAACCTTTGGATGACAGTCTACAAACCGTTCAAAAATCCCTCTTGCCCTCTCCACCTCATTGTACCTTAACTCAAACTTTATATACAAAAGCCAGCCATGTTGATCAGGCTACCACAACATCCACCTCTCAAAAATTTGCCGTGCACCAGCAACATTGCCCAGCATCTCCTCCATGTGAATATACTTGTACCACAATTGATCCAAAATTCAAAAGTAACACTGCTGAATTTGTTTGTAGAGCATGTTATGTACAATTAAAAGGGTAACAAACCAGCAAAGGCCGTTTAAGTAATAGTTTTTTGGAGGGGTGACATACATGAACCGCAAAATTGCACACATAATATCAAAAAAACCTAAAGATCTTCACAAACAGCTAACAGACACAGAGACACACACAGAGTAATGATACATCCTTTTTGTATCTAAATCCAATCAAAGAACAAAGAACTGGAAGATTTAGTTACAATATACAACAGCACAAACCTTCAATATATTGCCTCTCTTTTTATCAAGAACTAATCCTCTGACCATGTATTTCCAATCAAATGTCCAATCCAACAACTACACAAGGCTAGACAAGTTAATAAGTCATATTCAAAGCCTCCATTCATCGTGCAAGCAAGAAGACAGAAAGTGTTACTAAATTACAGGTTAAAAGTCATTGTGAAAATGCAAATTGCAAAAGTTTCGGAACTCACCAATCCCAGCTAGCAAAGTGAAGAACAACTTCACCGCCACACTATATCCCATATAGAGTTTTCCTCTCTTTGCCTGCCANAGTTTTCCTCTCTTTGTCTGCCATTCAGAATACCAACCCAACTATCATAATTAAACCAGAAACATTATAAAGAAAATGATAAATGACTAATAAATAATAGGGTTAAAAGCCTTTCCAAAAGTCTTCAACAATAGAAGAAGACGGAGAATTCAATGGCCCAAAACCCACAAAATCTTTTGATGACTATTGAACCCATTCCCTTATCTTATCTATTTCTAGTGTGGTCACACATTAATTTAGAATCTAGACATACTTATTTCTGAAATGAAACAAAAAGAAATCTTTTAATCTTTCCAAGGCTACTTAAATAAATAAGTATGTCATTTTCACCAACATCTACCATCTTGAATAGGTCCTCAATCAAAAGGCAACCAAGATGTTGCCAATGATTCTAAATTATAAGAATAAATAATCTACGAAACCTTAATAGAAAATCTTATAAAACTGTATAGCTATGTATGAGTATATATATAAGTCTGACTCCACTCATCTCATGCAAGATCTGATCTTGCAATAGGGTAGCGAAATTTGTACATACTTTGGAGTTCACAATGTTTCAACTTCCCCTAAATTTGGATCAAGCATGCCTTACTTTAGCTCAGAAAAAGTCAAGTTCACATTGTCCAAAAGCCAAGGTTGAGCTTTAATTCACAATTAATTGAAACTTCAGACCACGGCAAGTGACTTCTAATTTATTTATTTATTTGTTGACTTAACAAGCTCTACAATCAGTTATAGATGATCAAATTTTGTGCTCAAATACTGCATAAACTGCAGTTTGCCAATGTCAAGTTAGTATCAACTGGAAAGACAGCTAGAATGTAATCATCAAAGACTCCCACACCACAACACCAACATAGAGGGTCTACATTTGCATTTTTTACACAACAGGACCAGTAATGAAGACTAATGCTATAACAGAAATAAATCTTAATTGCCCCTCAAATCGCATTGCAAGCATCACCTACGACTCCATTCAACAACACATGGAAATATTTGTGGGTTTCAATTCCTATATTTTTAAACCTCAGAAAACAAAAACAGTATAAACCTTAGATACCAAAAATATATTTAGCACTTGAAAACCTACGCTAGACTAATGCGTTACAAATGTTAAATCGCATCAAACACACCATCACAGTGAAACAAACCAATTATCATACCACTTTTCAAGTCCAAAGAAACACCCAAAAAGTCCAAAAAAGAAAAAAAGAAAAAAAATTTGAGATCAACAAATTCATTCTTCATTCGTATTTCTAACTACATAAAGATGAATTACATCAAACTCACCGACCTAGATCCGAGTGTCTTGCACCAACATGTTTTGTGTACCTTCCTGCCTTGAGAAAACGGGCAATACGACCCACGGGAAACTGGAGCCCGGCCTTTCTGCTCCTTGATTGGGCCTTCTTCGCCGACCCAAATCCGAGTGTCTTGCCCCTGCCCACCATTCGTATTGAAAACAAGCGATTAATGAAAACCCATTAAACCACCAGAAATCAAATGCACCAACGTGTTCTCACAGCAAAGAACACAATAAACACTCTAAGGGTTATTATCAAACACATAGTGAAGAAAACAGGAAGAAATAGCAATAGAAAATAAGGAAATATACTGACTATAGCACTCGAGTGTGGGCGTCCGATGACCGGCAATCGGAAAAAGAACATCGCCGTTGAGAGAAACTGACAGGAGATGGCAGGAGTGAAGAAGAGAAGACGAGAGAGACGGGCGCGAAGTCTATTTAGGTTTTCCTATTTTTTGTTGGGTCTCCCAATTTGAGTGATATTAATTGTCATTTTTCCAACTCTTTCGCAACGTTTACTCAATGTTGCGAAAAACAAACTTTTCGCAGCATTTAATAAATATTGCAAAAAGTTACTTTTTGCAACTTTTTGCAACGTTTATTGAACGCTGCAAAAGCCTATATTATACGAGTTTCAGCAACATTGAATAAACATTGCAAAAAATAGAAATTTTCGCAACACTAAATAAACGTTGCGAAATGCGACATTTGCAACATCTATTTAAAAAATGTTGCCAAAGCTCAATTATGTCAACCAACGGCAACATTCACTTATTCAAATGTTGCGGTAGACCCATTTAGCAACATTTAACTAGTGAGTGTTGCCTTTTATATGTTGCAAATGCCCTTTTTTGGCGTAGTGAAAACCAGTCAATCTTGACCCTATTCGTGTTGTTTGTGGAAAATTGTCCACCCACCCCTTAGTGTTTCTTCGTGTATTGAATTGTACATAAAAAAATAAAATTATCCAGATACGATGAGTTTTGATTGAACTAGATAATAAAATGAGCAATTCTTTAGTATTTTTAATAGATTCCGACAAGAATGATTGATTTTAATGAAGTATAAAATGTACGATATGATTGTTAGTGGTTTTCTATTGCCTAATTATAAAAAAAATATGAATAAAGTGTTTGCTCAATTTTGCACGGGTAAAATGCAATTATTGATTACATTTATTAACATATAAGCAATTAAAAGTTTGTCTAAAGCACAATATCAATCAATTAGGTCAATTACCACATAATTAAGTCTAAATAATACATAATTATTCAACCCAATCATACAACCCACAAAAGAAAAAGAAAAAAATGAAAGTTGGTGGTGGTGGAGTTTATTTTTTTGAATTTCATGTTACAAGTCAAAATATGTAATGATTGACTAAAAAGACATATGAATTAAGTAATCAAATTAATACTGTGAACACTTGGGATGAGAAGAGAATTGGATTAGTGGTTTGGATTTTCTCGTTCCTTCTCCCCTTTTTTTCTCATTTTCTTTTCCTTTATACTTTATTCGAGATAAGTGTATAATAGTTGACATAATTTTTGACTTCTCAAAGGTCAAACCTTGCTCCTAGTAGTTGTTTATGAGGACGAGGACCTGTGTACTAAACGGGAGATTGGAGACCTAAATGTCACAAGTCCTAAAGATTAGGGACTCCAAATGAAATTTACTCAATAAAAACTGTCCTTCAAAAAGTGAAAAAAGCCTAGTCCATGGCCCAATTTACTGTTCAATTTGTGCCCGTCAAACTCATTTTCTTTATGGGTACTTACACAAATACCCTCAATTTTGGGACAGTTTTGAAAAATCATGATAGAGTTGGATTACATAGTAATTTGTTATATTTGAATGTAAAATATTCGCTCAAACCTAAAATCATTGACAATCCTCAAAAATCAACCTCCAAACTGGAAAAATCAAAGGAAAAAGATGAAATTTTCCACAAATACAAAAACAAAATTCGTTGATACTATTTTCATACAAAGATATAACTCTCTGGTGAAATTTAATTCATCAAAGAAAGGAATAGGCTGATGATGTCAAGTTTCGTAAACTAAATTTCTGCTTTCATGCTTGGCAAAATTCAAAAGCTAGTAGCAGATATTTGTTTCACCCCTTGAGTACTTGTTGCCAGTGACTTCAATTCAGTACCAGGAGACTATAGGTAGTTACGTATCTCCTCCATTACTGTCACTCGAGTTTATTTCACATTTTCTTACTGTTATTGTGGTGATATAGGTCGCAATTTTTCATACTTCGTATTGTTCTTAATTTATATACATACGATATGATTGTTAGTGGTTTTATGTTGCCTAATAGGATAATTTTTTTTGTACATTAGGGGTGATATAATGTTGTCCATAATAGACACATGACACCCCACCATTGAAGAGTGTGTTGGTAATGGACACATGACGCCCCACCATTGGAGAGTGTGTTGGTGGGGTGTCATGTGTCCATTACGGACACCATTATGACATCACTGATGTACTTGTAGCACTTCCCTTATAAAAAATATGAATAAAGTGTTTGCTCAATTTTGCACGGGTAAAATGCAATTATTGATTACACTTAAATAACATATAAGCAATTAAAAGTTTATCTAAAGCACAATATTAATCAATTAGGTGACAAATAACCGCATAATTAACTCTAAATTACACATAATTATTCAACACAATCATTCAATCCACCGAAGAAAAAGGAAAAACGAAAGTTGGTGGAGGTGGAGTTTATTTTTTTGAATTTCATGTTACAAGTCAAATATGCAATGTTTGACTAAAAAAGACACGTGAATTAAGTAATCAAATTAATACTGTTAACACCTGGGATGTGAAGAGAATTGGGTTGCTGGTTTGGCTTTTATCGTTCCTTTTCCCCTTTTTTTTCATTTTTATTTTCTTTATACTTTATTCAATATAAGTGTATAATAGTCGTTTCGACATAATTTTTTACTTCTCAATGGTCAAACCTTTCTCCTAGTATAGTTGTTTATAAGGACGAGGACGTGTACTACAAACGGGAGATTGGAGACCTAAATGTCACAAGTCCTAAAGATTAGGGACTCTAAATGAAATTTACTCAATAAAAACTGTCCTTCAAAAAGTCAAAAAGCCTAGTCCATGGCCCATTTTATGTTCAATTGCGGCACGTCAAACTCATTTTCTTTTTCAATCCAAATCTCATCAATATACAAAAGAGAAAATACAATTTTACTCTCACACGTGCACCTAGAAAATTGAACATAATGTCTGCCCAACTCCGTTGAATTTACTATGGTCAAGTTGGAAACAAAAGGCGTGAGACAATTGAAGTTATTAGCTTAATTTGACTTTAGTAGAAACTACTTTATTTTCTTTATTATTTAAAATCGTTTTTCAATGTCAATATTACAAAACATTATTTGTAGAAAAGAGAAGTTCTTGGCAATTTTTAAAATTGGTAAATTTTTTGTTTTAGTTTGAGGTGGTGAGAAGGTACTTTTTGTAGTTTTAAGTATGACAAAAAAAACAGGTGCTACAAATTATAATTGTCCGCTTTGTAGAAGCAATTGCGTCAATTTTCTTAATTTTGGGTAAGTTGAATATAGTACTGAATTTTCCCAATGCCGTCGGTGCATGTTCTGCCTCTCTATCAACATAATATATGAAGTAATACTATGCACAAGCATTGCTCAACATATAGAATTTTAACTTTTTATTTATTTTATGAGTTGAATATTGTCTAATTCATATTATCTAATATATTATTCACGTACAGGATTGACGACATCTGAAAAATGTCTCACTAGTATGCAATTTTGTGAATGTGTTGTAGATACATTCTTGTTCACTAGCGAAATTCATGTTGGGTTTGTGACCCAAATTTAGTTGGATTTTTTTGGAAAATTTTTGTTTCATTTATTTCACGCATTTTTATTGGAAAAATATTATTTCCTTTATTTCACACGTTTTGATAATATTTCCATCTTTAAAAATATTGTTAGGGTTTTGATGTCACATATATATAGTTGACTCCTCTTTACAAGCTGAATTATTAGAGAAGTTAGAATAATTGTAAGAAAAACAATTGTTGTAATTCTTTTTCCATTATAATTGAATAAATTTCCAATTTTGTTGTCAAATTAAATTCTTATCTTTGTGTTCATCTTGTTATTGCAATCAATACTTCAAATCATACCGTATAACCTCGTTTCGCCCCCAACAGGTGGTATCACAGCTTTGAGTTTTTGATTTGTTAAAGGTTTTTGTTCTTGATGGCAACCATGAATTAGTATGATAGTCCACTTTTAGATCGCATCACTAGATTCTCATTGTGACATGTGAAAATACGAGTTGTACTTGCATAGATGAATTTGGATGATGCATTGTTGGGATTTGATAAGATGCCCTCAACTTGATCGATGGAGGAGAAACAGTGTGAGGATCAGAAGGTACTTTCACAAATTCATCTTCATCTTTCAAAAAATATTTTTTAGAATGTTTTAAAGGAGAAACGACAGCTGTATTTTGGTTGAAGTTGGAGTAATTGTGCATAACTAAGAGTCTAACCATCAAATTGCACTTGAAACAGCGTTTGCAATCTTATCGTAAGACACAAGGTGGATTGCCGAAAGATCACTTGACTGTTTTTTAGGAAATCGTTGCTAATTTGAAAACTTTAGAGATAAAGAAAAAGATTTGGTCTTAATTCTTTTGTGTTTGATGCTCACTTTGTTTACTTCGTTTAGAGATAAAATTTTATATAGTCGTGATACTTTTACCATTGAAGATGCATATGCTGCTTTGTTTTCAAATGAGAAGATGAAACACTTGGTTAGATCTTAGCCTAGAGATGGAAAAGGGTTCATGGTGGTCATAGACAGGGTAGTTCTAATTCTAATTTTAGTAAGCAAAATTATTTTTATTACAAAAAGAAAAGACGCATCAAGAAAGATTGCAACGAGTTACAGAATAAAGGAAATTTGGTTGCAAATTAGAAGGGAAAGCAATCAGAAATTATAGGTGAAGCCGATGTTATAGAGAACTACTTGAGTGATCGAGATGTGTTGGCTATTTCAGGCGACGAGCCCTAACCTGATGATGATTGGATTTTGGATAAAGTTTATGCTTTTTATATGTATCTCAATCGAAATTTGTTTTCAACTTATGAAATAATTTCGATAGATGTCGTGATCATAAGAAACAATGCACCCTTCGAGTAGCTCGTGTTGGTAGAGTCGAACTAAAGCTAGTGGATAGGATATTTAGAATACTCGATCATGTTCGACATATTCCAGATTTGAAGAAAAATCACATCTCGTTGAGTACCCTTGATTCAAAAGTGTATAGTTTGAGGGTTTACAAAGGTGTCCGTGTTGTATTGGAGGGAAGAAAGAAATCTCAATTATACGTCTTGCAAAGTTGTGCAGAATCTGTGAACAACAACTAGCAAATGTTTAATACCATGGTGAAAATTCAGTTTGTTACAATACCGTTGAAATTTGGTTTGGGGTCCATGTTGAAGAATTCAGATTAGTCGAGTTCGAAGGATATGGGTAATGTCACTTTGCCATCAGTTGCGGTGCCATCATATTCAATTGGTAGGGACAGATCCAGTAAAGATAGATACGTGGATGCCGATTTTGTTGCTCATGCTTTAAGTGCATTTGAAAGTGTTGAGTCTAGTAAAAGGTCTTCTAAAAAATCATTTGGTGTTGATTCTGTTTCATGGTGTATTTCGATCTTATTTTGTAAATTTTAAATCATTTGAGATTTTTTTGTTGAACCCGAGGTAATTCAGCGAAAGAGTGTTTTGATTCATTTATTTTAGTTGGATATCGTGGAAAATGTGGAGAATTTTCGATTCGTTGGAGAAGTTAGTTTGATTCTTGTTGAAAAATTCAGTTCATTCTTTGCAGTCGAATTTTTTTCTAGGTGAAGAAATTTTAGAGTTTTATTTGTTGCAGTGGAATTTGTGTCAATATGGAGATTGTTGGGTTTGTGACCCAAATTTGGTTGGGGTTTTTTTTTAGAATATTTTTTTATTCCATGCATTTTTTATATTATTTCCACATTTAAGAATATTGTTACTGTTTTGATATGTCCCCTATATATAATTGGTTCTTCTTTACAAACTGATTTATTACAGAAGTTAGAATAATTGTAAGAAACACAATTGTTATAATTCTTTCTCTATTATAGTTAAATAAAATCTCCAATTTCTCTATCAACGATTCAATGCTATCATTTTTTTCCTAAAATATCTTGTCCAAACATATCATTTATAAATCGCCAATGTCATCACTTTTATAACCAAATAAAGTTCTCTCAGTGCTCCATAATTTAGATTGATTGTTCCAATTGTACATAGAGTTGAATATCTTGAGTGAGTTGCGCACTTGATCAATTGATTACTAGCATGAAGTTAAATAAACTTAAACTCAGTTTGAACAAAATTCATAATTATCTTTGATGAAGTATTATTGCATGGGAAAAGAATACCCATGTTTGTCTATTTTTAAAACAGAACTCTTTAATTTTCATACTCATTTTCAATCAAACATTTACACTATAAAATATTTGGTACATAAACCCAGATTTTTTTCTACTTTTTAATCACACATTATTAAAAAAATCACTTTTTAAAACATTTTTTTAAAAAAATAATGGGCATCAAATGGAGGTATAGAAGAAAAATATTTTCAACTAGGGTATGGATGTCCTTTTATCTTCTCGTAGGCATGTTAGTCGATGGATCATCATACAATTTGATGTTGAGTAGTAGAACCATAATTCCAAATATGATATAAATTTTGCTATAAAAATGTTGAGAAAATTTGTGCCACATTTATACATAAACCCCATAATTACAGATACAGTATCTTATTTATTCTTCTATACCACCCCCAAAATATATAGCAATCATCTATTTATCTGCAGCAACAAAAATAATATACAGTCTTCAATCATATGTTCTAAAGACCTAATCTGTCTGTAAGAACTCGAAAGCCCCTCCCTTCTCAACTCTCTATGCCTATATAATTTAATTTCTTTCCTTCTCTACACTATCAGCATGCTATCCCCTTAGGACACATAATGCAGGTCAAGATGGAAAAATCTGCTTCCGTATATTTCCAGACGAACCAGTTACAGTAACTCATCAGGTTACAAAGTCTGGAAACAATTGTTCCGCGTACCTCTTGCGGTTTTGAATGTTGATGTTTTCAAACATGCTGGTCGAATGAGCAGATGTTGGAGTATTCATGCCATTGAACTCATTTGATTCTCCAATTTCGACTCCTCTTATGCTATGGTTTGGCAGGAAAGTTTGATGTGTACCGGAGAGGTTGTCGCAGTGTGGAAGGCCTAGAGTGAGAGAGACTGTACCATTTCCTGAATATGGAGCCTGGAACTGTTCTGTCCCAAACCTTCCAATTTCCCCCATTGGATACGAACCGAATCCTCCAATTAAGTTTGTCGGTGTAGCCATTAATGTGAATCCATCTCTGCTATGTCTCTCATTGCTGAATTCCATTGTCATTTGATCATTGTTTGCATCAGTAGAATTTGAATCCATGTTTGTTGATGGAACAATGCTGCTGCGCGGTTTCTTTCTACTTCCTTGAGTAATGCTTTCGATTTCTGATGATCCAATTAAGTTGAAAACTGACTGGTTCCTGAAACTTGCATCAGTTGGAGATGCGGAACTAGTTGAAATTGTCGTTGATGGAGTTATGATGTTCTGGTTAATGGGGCTGTCCTGTTTTGCAATTAAATTCTTGATCTGTTTTTCGGTTCCGGGGCTATTCTCTTGTGGAGCAGCTGTAGATTTTGATATTGATTCTTCGTTCTTTCTACCTTTGCCAGTCTTCTCATCTGACCCATTTTTTTCATGGTCCTTCATCTCTTCTGTGTACATCTCCTCGACCATCGGTTTCCAGAGTCGAACTCGAGCATTGATAAACCAATTAGATACCTGAACAATAATGGTTTGTAAGTTAAGTTGAACTCTACGGTACTTAACAATATTAAAGAAGAAAAAGTTGTTCAGCACGGTCATGTCTTAAGATCACAATCAAGAAGCCCACAAAAAGTATAGAGTTATCAGGTACCTGACTCCTAGTAAGCCCTGTCTGTTTAGCAAGCATGAGCTTATCTGAATCCTTGGGATAACTGAACACCAATTGCAAGAAAAATATATCTTTAAAAATCAAGAAAAAACTATGAAATTTCTAATATCACAACAGATAGATTCTATATGAAATTCTAAAAAAAGTTACGGGTGCAGGAAGTGTTCAAAGAGCCAGGCACGAAGAACTGAAACAGAACGCTCAGGCAATCCTCTCTGGGGTCTCCAAGCACTGTGCTGGATCATTCCCAATTGCTGTAAAGCTTTTTGTTGTCGAATCTGATTATCGACATATTTGAGTCTTGAACCCTCAACTTTTCCTCCCAAATTCTCTTCTTCACCTAGGGCGTTGCTTGCAGAACGAATTTGGTTTAATATAGAATCTTTTAAGCACCGGAATTGCTTTGAGATTGTTTGTAAAGCCAGAGCAGTGTACGTTTTTGCAGAACCGATTCCTGCTGCTTGCTCGAACATAGATATGACCACCCGCATCTGGTGGTGGTACTGTCTGTACCTCTGCTCCACCTTAAAAAAACAAACGGACTAATTAATCATTGTCCTAATAAACTCGGGCAAATTAATTTTCTCCACTATATGTCCTGTTTATTTCTATATTAATTATAGGAAAGTATAAAATAATTATATTTGTGTCAGTAATGTCGTCAAATATACCTCAATGCGCAGGGAGAGAGAAGATTCTTACCTCATCGAGCATGTTGACAAGCTTTGCTTTCTTCATCTGAATTTCTAGTTGCTCTGCTGTAGTGAGTTCAGCACTGCGTTTTCCACTGGTTTCTGCGATGCTATTTGCAGCGGCTGAGGATTCTCCGACTGTACTCTTGGCTTGTCCGAAGGTCGACTTCCCTGATTCTGTAGCACTCTTTACTTCACTACCGACATTGACAACTTCTTCTAGAAGTTCCTGTGCTGCCTTCAAATACTTGGAACTCAAAAGCATACTTTGCATACCAGTTACGCCGTTGGAAACCCCAGAAACCGAGGAAGGTGATTCCCTAGAAACCCTAATGTCGTCCCCACGAACCGATGACTTGGTGTTCACAAGGGGTTGGGATGGAGAATCGCCTTCGGGCCTAAAAGACCCGAACCTAGGAGGATGCTGGGAAGAGAGGGTTAAAGAGAGTCCTTGTTGAGCGCGTGTAACATCACGCGCCTCTGCGAGATCCATAGACGGGTTGTACAGATTGTACTGAACTCGAGGGAGGAAGCTGTGGAGGGCTGAGAGATCCTGCTGGGAATGGACAGATGGAGGGTGAGTGTTTTGGTATGAGGTGGCGGTGGTGGAAGTGGTGGCTTGGAGGGGTATGCCAACAAAGTGTTGAGTTTGAGAGGGTGGCGCATGGGGTAAGTTTAGGGAATTCCCTGAGTTGTTGGAGTTGAGAAACACGAAGTTGTTGCCACCCGGCTGCGGCTGCTGCTGCGGCTGGGTGTCAGAGTATCCAACGTAGCCAGGATTCATCAGAATCAGGGTTTGTAACCCATCACCACCTCCTTGGATTTCTGAATTTCCATGGAAGTACGCAGCCATCTACAATTCAACACACACTTTTCACACACACTAACACAAACGGACAAAAGGCCAATATGTAAATACAAACTATACCTGTTAAGGATTTATGAGAGTTGCAGGTTTTTATGGGTCAAATCATTTGATGAAAAAACTTTGGAGAATTGACTGAAACTGTAATAATCTTGTGATCAAACAATCCCTGTAAAATTCAGAAAACAATAAAATAATTAAATCTGACATCTTCATGATTAGATAATTAAAATTGACAATAACCCACAATCTTGATTCTTCAATATATTTGTTGACAATGTATTTTTCTGTAGAGTGGAAGTGGAATGAAAAGAAAGAAACCTAAAAGGAGATATCTGAATTTATTGGTAAGGAAAGAGAGATTTGAATGGGGAGGAAAGGGTATGGTTAGGTTAATATTATTGTTACCTGGTTTGATGAAAATCACGTGCTCCATCGTCACTGTCTGCAAAGGAGGAAGAATTTTAGTTACACTGACACCATAAACACCATCATCAAGCTTCAGTGGCCATAGCAACAGGGATACTATCTCACGAGAAATCTATATATACATATATATGTAGAGAGAGAGAGAGAGAGAGAGAAATTTAAAGTGAAATATATGTCAGACTCAAACTCAAGAACTCTGCAACTGATATCTATCAGTAGATAAGGAAAGAAAGAAGTGAAGGTCGAGATGAAGCTAAAAAGGCTGTGAAAAAGGTCCCCTTCTTTATTCACTCAATTATCCACACGTTTCTGTCTTCTTTTCCTTTCAAAAATTAGAATAAGAATAATTCAAGAAAAGAAAAAATATATGTGTGTGGGTTTTGGGTGAAGTACCTGCGAATTGATTAAACACAGGAACTTCATTGATTTGACCCTCGTTCTCAAATCATTTGATGCAGGCAGGACTACTGCAATGAACTACAAACAACTTTTTCAGAGGGAGAAAGCTCTGTGTATGTTTGATGGAAGAAAAATGCTAATCTGATCAAGTGTGTGTATGTCCGGCTGAAAACGAGGAAACGTCGCCTTCCCACTAAAGATTTATGTATATATAATTATATTATTATAAAGATAGAAAAGAGAGAAGATCATCATGGACATTTCTGCTATTGCTATGTAGAAGTAGTAGGGTGCCGGGGGGGGGGGGGGGA